CACTAGAACTAACAGAAGATCTAGAACTAGAATCATTCGGGTTTAGCCGTCTTGAGAGACGTGCGGCTAAACCCGAATGTTTCTAGTTCTCGGTCTAGTGTTAGTTCTAGTGGCAGTGGTAGGTAGCGCTAGTTAGCATAAGATATTACTATGTTGCATATCTTTATTGCACTAAAACTAGAACTAACACTAGACCTAGAACTAGAATCATTCGGGTTTAGCAGTCTTGAGAGACGTGCGGCTAAACCCGAATGTTTCTAGTTCTAGGTCTAGTGTTAGTTCTAGTTTTACACTAGCATTATCACTAGAACTAACACAAGACCGAGAACTAGAATCATTCGGGTTTAGCCGTCTTGAGAGACGTGAGACTAAATCCGAATGTTTCTAGTTCTCGGTCTAAGATTAATTCTAGTGGCAGTGGTAGGTAGCGCTAGTTAGCATAAGATTACTATGTTGCATATTTTTATTGCACTAAAACTAGGACTAACACCAAACCTAGAAACGTGTATTACGTTGTTAAGTTTAGAAGATTCTTAGAATTGTTGAAACATTTAGTCTTAACACATTGTAGTAATGTAACGCATTGAAGCTGAGAAAATAGTTTATAGTTATTGGTCTCGAAGGGATCACGTCGTCGTTGCTTACCGTCTATTTTGGCCGTTTGGCTATTTTCGCAACAGAATGCCAGCCAATTTTATCGGCCACACCGTGACACTGGGGTCCTGAGTTAAAATTACCGCTGAAAATAACCTCGCGACTCGGTAACATACGAAACGGATGCATCGCGCGTCAACATAAACAAGCGGCAGACGTTGATATTACAAAATCTCGTCTGAACCCATAAATTATTTGAGTATCATTAAAATCGTTTTCTCACTTCGTATTAGCATTAAATTTGATATATTTTCTCTTTATTTCCAGGAAAAGTATAATTTTAACTATAATCAAAGAAGATAGTTATGAAAAAGATGTCCTGTTCTACGTGCAATTAGGGGAGCCTCAAATGTGCGGTGGTAAGATTGTTAAATTCAACCATATTCAGTGTTTATTATCTCTTCATATGTATCTTATTCTGTTTTCCATATCTGCACTCTCTTCTCTACTACTGCTGCATGCTCAGTAAGTAATCCGATTCAACGAAATTTTTTTTTTTGAAATAAACAAAAACTGGTTCAAGATTTCGTAGTAAAAGTCGTTAAAAAAGGCTGTGTTTTCTTTTTGTGACCATCATGATCACGCGAGTGCGAGTTTTTTTAAAAATTTTTTCTGTGCATTTGTTCCGTCGAGTGCTTTTTTGTTTCAAAATTGCGCCTTTACAGATGTCCAGGAACCTTTCGGAGATGGAAAAATACTTTATTTAAAAATTATAATTAAATTGAAAGAGAAAGAGAGAGAGATTTATTTTTTTTTTTTGTGGACAACTTTGCTTTCCCATAAGGAAATCGTGATAAGACCCAAAATTTGTGATTAACCTAATTTAATAATAAACTTTAAACTACAAATTTAACTGGATGGTGCGGCCAAATAAGATCGCAAACTGCCCACCTAAAATTTATTCTTAAACACTGCAAGAGCGCACACTGAGCATGCCAACTGACGAAATTAACACAATTAATACTAGTGCACGCTTGTAGATTAAAATAAAAGCTTCATGTACTGCTTGCTTTTCATTAGGTGTTCCTAACTTCATCTGTACAGAACTTATTTTTCTGTCGATATCGCTGCATTATTTTCTTTGCTTAAATAATTAAAATAGATATTAACAAAAACTTAATTTAAACTTAATCTATCGTATATTTGAGAATAATACAATTTAAAATTCATTTATCTCAATTTTGTTGTATTTTTTGTAAATTTTAACAGATGAAGCTAGTTTAGCAGCATCAGCAGAGAAAAAAAGACCTGAAGATAGAACAGAACAGGAGAAAGTAGCTCTACTGGGAAAACCACGACTCGGCGAAATAACACGGGCCCAGATCCGGATTAAAGAAAGCAAGGAATTCAAGGTAACTCTCGCGCTGAAGAGACGTGCAAATCGAATTTTCGGGTCGCACGATGAAGTCCTTAAAGCCTAGACATTTACCTCCCTCGTTTGAAGCTTCTTGACGCTTTCTGGGTCGCTCCAGCTTATTAAAATGCAATTTTCCAATGGCCGTGAGAACTCGCCTTAATTTCAATTTACAACTTTTCGTCGACGTGTTACTCTCCTCCCAAAGTGAAAATAAATTATATCAAACAGAGTAATAAATATGTTTAGGACACAAAATGCGCGTATTCTTTTTAAACTCTGTGTCGTTCACACAAAGGCTTTTCAGTTCGTATTGTTTTCCTCTTTAAAAGTTCAAAAGATAACTTTGTGGATAAAGTTTTTTTTTTACTTTTGCTTTATACAGAGTGAATTTATTGAGAGTTTAATAAAATTCTTTTAAATCGGACAAAAAGAGTTATGTTAACAATGGAACATTAGTATAAAAACAACCCATAATTGATTGAAACTAGTAACTTGATTATATACTATTCGATGAAAATGTAAAATAAGAATGTGTCGATGAGGTTCGTTAGGTGCCCCCTGCTAAGTGGCGCCTGGGTTCTGTCCACCCGTGGCAGCTTGACAAAGCCACCACTAACTACACGTATGGCAAATTACATTTTCCATGTAAACCTGAAAATGTGTACATAAAACGTGGGGAGTATGAACTAAAAGCAATGTCTGTTGTGGAGACTTTGCAAAAACCACACGTAACAAGTCTTCAGATTTTAATTAGTCAATTTCAATACAATAATTATAATTTTATGACATGTAGAAAACGTATCCAACAATAATAAGAACAAAACGACATTAATAATCAAAAAATGTAAGTTGTATCTCGAGAAATCTAATGGAAAGTAAACATTATATGCGTGGTATTTTTGATTTAATTTTATTGTAGACATATTCCAATAACAAAGATAAATAAAGATAGGGAAGCAGATAGGGAAGGTTTTCCGGGTTGATTTAGTGTTTCGCGAATTCTAAGAAATTAAATATGTTTTATAGATAGATAGATTCTTTATTGTATTATTAAGAAAGACTTCTCTTACACTCGTCACCTTATATGTATAACTGAAATGTGGGACTCTGTATTAAATTGTAATTTTATTAGAAGTCTGGTAATTGAAAGAAACATACTGAGTGCGCTGGGTTCACTAAAATGGTGAGCTTTTAATTTTAGCAACAATAACTCGTGGTCAACGCAGTCGAAAGCCTTGGTTACATCAAAAAGTGATATTTCAGTCAGCAGGTTGTTTTCAAAGCCATTTCGTATGCATTGAGTTAAGGAGTGTATTGCAGAAGTGGTGGACATTCCTCGCCGAAAACCAAACTGAGAGGTGTTCAACGTGTGATTTTCCAAATAGTCAATCAACTGCGGTTTAATGACAAGCCCGAACAAAAGCAAGACGGTCAAGGCATTTCAATTGATTCCATGTCAACTTAATATTGTACAGGATGGTTCAAATTCGATATCCGAATAGGCTATCTCCGAAACTATAAGAGTTAGAAAAAAAGTAGCTTATATGTCATGATCTCGTTTTTCGAGAAACTGTTAATGCCAAAAACCTCAAAGCGCTATCGTCTTTTGTTTTTCCCCTAGAGGCCAAAATTGAAAATATCGTAAAACCAGCAAGTGCAATTATCTTGGTTATTATTGTAGGTGGAGTATTATAACTAAGACATTATATGGACACTTTTTTACAGAGAATTTGATAAAGTAGCCAAAAAAAATTTTTCGGTTTTAGATTTTTAGATATTATGAGAATTTTCGTTTTTTTTAATGGAAACAACCACTGATTATTCGCTTATTAAATTCGTTATTTTTTTCTGATTACAAAAATATGGGGTTATGTAGGTCTATTTCTTATTGTTTTAGAATAAAGTTAAAAATAAACTTTTTTTTAGTGTGGTCAAAGAAATTACAGTTTCCTGTAAATTACGGTACTATAACTAAAATTTATTCTACTAAAAATTTATATAAAATTTACTTTATTTTCTAATATGTAACATTCTAACATGTTAAACTTTTCGTAATTTTCGTAATCCATCTTAAAAAACAAGATTTCTAATTTGACACTTCAGAAAATTTTTGAATACAAACAAATGTTGCTATTATATGTTTATTTGAATTAAAAAAAATAAAGTCCCTAGATTTACAAACTACCGCGGTTCATGACATAGAAAAATGTATATATATTATATATATAGAAGGTCATCTCCCCACTATTTTTTGGTACATTCAGCGCTCCCAAGGGGATTGTGAGGGAACTATAATTAGGTTAAAGCGTAAAATTTAAATATAGGTATTACTATACCGGTTTATATCAATACTTTATTTTGAAGAGATCAAGTGCATTTCCCAAATAAATGGAAAAAGTATGAATTTAAAGTTTTTCCAAGATAAAATTCATAATTTTTAACATATATTGCTCTTATTGGCTAATGGCTTACCTTAGGTCCATTACTACCATCTTCTGGTTAAGCTATCTAAGGGATTATTACCACGGTTACGGTTATTTTACGCGCTCTGATTGGTTAGTAGATGGGTTTATCTATAAGATAAATTTAACTAAAAGATGGTACTAATGGACCTTAGGTCCATTGGATAGTAGATGGGTTTATCTATACGATAAATTTAACTAAAAGATAGTACTAATGGACCTTAGACCCGTTACTACCAAACCAATGCTATCTGTCAGTTAAGCTATCTATAAGATACAATTTATCTCATAGATAACAGGGTCGTGCGTACTACCACCTCCATTTATCTCATAGTTAAGAAATCCTTGAGATAAGCAAGGAATATAGGGATTTTTTGGTCTATTATGTTAAGTTGATGTGGTCAAAAGACCTACTATTAGGTATTTTGACGATATTCTAACCTGTTCTAACCTTAAAATTAAAGTTTGGAAATGGAGACTGAGAAAAGGTGACGAACCACCAATTTCATCAAAGAAGAATGCGAACATCTTCTTGAATTTGTTATCAAACATAAAAACGTAATAGAAAACAAAAAAAATTGATGCAGTTACATGGCAAGGAAAGCAAAAAGTATGTATATCTCGTATTATTGTATGTTAAAATATAATGGTAAACAATAATGGCACAACTAACATGATGAACGACTGAAGATACCAATTGTACCTACAAAATCTGCTATGGATAGCAACATGTTACCCATTGCATAAAACCGAAAAGTCAGCAACAAACGGTTTGAAGGAGGTACAGCATTATTACTAAAATGTTGATGAATTTTACATTAAATAATAGCAATCAACAAATTGTTTACGTCATGGATGGAGGTTATATTACATCTTCTATTTGATTTAAAAGGTGATGAAAACTTTTTTTCGAGAGACGAAATCTCGTCATAAATTCAACATCTGAATGAATATTTAAATGGTCAACTCTACTCCTTATTATCCTTTCGCTTCTTATAGGAAATAATTCATTGATTTCTTCAAAAATTTGTTCTTCATCTCGTATATCGAAGACAGAGACGGCGCTACTGGGGGCTGCCGGCGCCTTTTTTAATATTTTCTCCAACAATATCTTATCTTTCTTTTGCGGTATTTAGACCTGTCAGCAGTATCTAGTCTTCAGAAAGCTGTATTTAGTCTCCACAAAGCAATTTTAGTCTTTAGAAAGTAGTATTTAGTGTTCCAGATGCTGTATTTAGACCTATCGGCAGTATCTAGTCTTCAGAAAGCAGTATTTAGTCTCCACAAAGCAATTTTAGTCTTTAGTAGGCAGTATTTAGTGTTCCAGGCGCTGTATCTAGACCTGTCGGAAGTATCTAGTCTTCAGAAAACAGTATTTAGTCTTCTAGAAGCAATATCTAGTCTTCTGCCAACATTATGTATGTTTTCTCCAACAATATCTTATCTTTCTTTTGCGGTATTTAGACCTGTCAGCAGTATCTAGTCTTCAGAAAGCTGTATTTAGTCTCCACAAAGCAATTTTAGTCTTTAGAAAGTAGTATTTAGTGTTCCAGATGCTGTATTTAGACCTATCGGCAGTATCTAGTCTTCAGAAAGCAGTATTTAGTTTTTTAGAAGCATTAGATCTTGTTGGGAGCCTCTTGTTATCTATACGGATCTTGTACCACCCGGTACCTCATTTCTGCAGCTATTACTTTGCTTTTGTGCTTATCCTGTATTGGCAAAGTTTCCGTATTGGTGATTTCCTGTCCTGTGCAATAACAAGACAAGTCTATTGGTTTATTGTTCATATTCTTCGCATTCTTTTATTGAACACATAACTATTGCCATGAAAAATCATGTTTGGTTTATAATCAATTTTTTGTTTTCTCTGAACAGTAATTTCAGACTTGATGTGGACTTTGAACAATGTAATTCCTGTTTTTTGCTGAAGTCTAGTTTATAACTATTGCAATTTCAGACTTTTCCTTGCAAATTAATCTTCTGACCAGAGCATTTCCGACTATTCCTTTAAGTTTGGTTTTTCACCAGTATAATTCTTAAATTTTTGCTGAAGTATGGATTATGATTATTCCAGTCTTTTTTAAGTTTATTTATATTTCTTTGATTATATATGTATATTATGCATTTTTTATTTTTTTTTAGGTTAAAATGATTTTATCTAATGTTAATTATTAATAGTTTCTTATTTAAGTTTATATTACTTTTCTTATTTTAACCGAAATAGTAAAACGCTCGAATTTTATACGTTAGTATAAATTCTATTTGAGGTTAGGTATCCGCAGTTATCCCTTAGATAGCAACTTATCCGACACCCAATCCACGGGTTACAGATATTTCAAAAGTTATCCGTTGGATAGCGGTATCTATAAGATAAATACAGTGGTAGTAACCAATTTTTAAGCTATCCGATAGATAATGCTATCACAGACTTTAACTATAAGTGGTAGTAGTGGGCCTTAGAGTGCTAATTTATCTATCGGATAAACTTATCAGGATGTGACAAAAGATTAAACTTATTTAAACACTTAAC